TCTGTTAAAAAAATGCAAAAAGAACAGTTTGTGATGATATCATCAGCGTATGTACGCAAAGGATTATAGATCCAAGAGAGTAGATTTGTGACTAAAAGAAGAAATAAAGTGGACAGAACAGAATCCTAAAGGAATACGATTTTCACAGGGAGGAACTGGGCTTGAAGTCAACGTTAGAAGAGCCAGGAAAACGTACATATGGGTGAGTTCGCCAAAAGCCATTGATGCCAGACGATCGAATGCTTTCAAGATGTAGAGCACTCGTTGAATAGAGCTTATTGCTGATGAGAGACTAGGCCTAGCAGATAGTAGATGGAATACCAAGAATGGAAGCGACATTGACAATCGTTCGGAAGTACATCACATTGGAGGTGTAGACGAAAGTTATCCACAATGATTGCTTTTGATAACGTTTAAAATGATGAATTCAAGGGAAATGGCTAATGGTTGTTACTTTATCCTGACTGGCTCCATCTAGATTCATAATGATCATAAAGGACAAAATGTAAGGCAGCATTTTATTGGATCACAACTAGCGGTGGCTTCACAGAAGCTTATCTTGCTATTCGATAAACGTGGATTCAACCCTTGGTTGTTCGTATCCTTGTTAGTGGGACAAATTTCTCTTGCAGCCGTTGTATTAGGGCAGCAGACCTCGTCTACATTCTTATGATCATCTGTATTCTACTATTTTCAGAACTTGATTACCATCAGAGTAGTTAAGCGTGCATGCGGAGCGGTTCTCCCGGGTTTTGACCACTGATCTGTACCGCCGCATTTGAGAGCCGTAGATAAGATTTGGGTGGACAACGGGATCGAGGAAGTGGGAGCAAATAATAGAAATATCTGTACAGATTCTTACATATCTTATATATATTCTTAAACGTAATTTTGTTTTGTTGTTTCGTATTCTGATTATCGTTTTGGATTTTTGTAAACTTGACTCCGCTTTAAATGAAATTTCGTTCAACTTATTTACCTCTTCGCATGCCTTTTTTGTTAGAAATGCATCAACTACGTCGGGTAGTAATCACCGGTCTCGGTGTCTGTACTCCAATTGGTCTTACCATAGAAGGTTTTTGGCAAAATCTTCTTAAAGGTGTTTCTGGATTGACTGCAGCACCTGGTAAGCGCTGAGATCGACACATACAGTTCACTTCTCAAAGATAGACAGTTTCCACTTTTTACCGAGTAAAGTTGTCGGTGTTATAAACGATCAGCAACTAGAATGTGCCAAGGTGGAAGCTGACCGTTACCTATCCGATGTGGGTTTCGGGTCGTTGGATTTCAGGGGTGTTTCCAGAGCCAGTATATTGGGTGTGCTAGCTGCCAAACAAGCACTTCTCCAAGCTGGTTTCCAACCCATTTCGCGCGAGAATTCTATTGGAAGCAGAGCTGGTAAGTATTTCATCCCATTTAATTCTCGTCGAGCAGATGAAGTTACTCATTTAAAATTTTCAGCCATATGCATTTCAAAATTAAAATGAGGCCATCGAGGTTCTAAATACGAATGACGATGAGTACCAGGTGAAAGTATTCGAAGAGAAAATTCGTTCATTTTCCATTGAAATCGTTGATTTTACAAGTAGTAGTTGTGTTTCGAAATAATGGAATTACTGTTCTGTAATGAGAACCGTTGGTCCAAGCATTTGAGCTTGGTCTGAAGATCCACATAAAATATTACTTCAACCAGCATAGCCTTGAACCGGATGATAAGATTTTGTTTACCACCAATGTTAAGTGATAGTGAAAAGATTCAACCTTCAGATCTCCTGGCTCGGCTTTCAGTGATTCTGCTTGATGCACACTTCAACGTTGAAACAGTTATCGCAGTTCTCCAAGTGGACAAGTAGACGGCCAATGTGACTGGTGGTAGTGCATTGCCTTTTGCACACACTGTCGCTGCTGGTGGCCTCACAAACCATATCAACCGTAACCGATAAATGTTTAATTGTTTCTTGAACAATTGCTTTGATTTCAGGTTCTAAAGCGGTTGATGAAATAAATGCTTCTTCCTTTTCCTGGTTGTGGGAATTGATCAACCGTGAAAGGGCATCTGCTTGCCAATCTTCTCCGTGGGAGTGTGCTTGTTGGTGAAGTT